CTGCTGAACTCCAAAAATACTGGTTATCTCAGCTACATAGTTGAGCTAATGAAGCATTTGCTCTCTAGGCTCTGAGCTCAGGTTGCTGTTCTTCAGCTAATTCAAAATGGAGCCATTAAAGTAATTTTCCTTTTGTGTTAACTTAGTGTTATTATTCCCTTCCTGGAAAATGGTGGAACAATGAAATAAAGTAGAGTGCGTTTTCCACGGCCCTCTCAAGTCCTGATTTATACTATCAGAGTAGAAAAACAGATCCTAGAAAATAAGTGTTAGTTGTTGAATACCAAATTGGATAACAGATTTTCTAATTTAGATTAGATACCAAATTTCTAATTTAGAAAGCCTCAGAACAATTCCCCAGTTCTGATGATCTTACATTCTTTTTCCATCATAAACTTGCAATGCGCAGTTAGTATCTGCTGCAAGCATACATCACTTTTATTTTGCCTGAAATTAAAGGGGAAAATAATGACCTGTGTCTCTCAGATCACCAGCTCTGGTCCTGGCCAGCTTGGCTTTAGCACTGTCATTCGCATGAGGGTCATCCTCATTGGTGAAGAGCATGATCCTTTTGTGGCTCAGTCTGACTTGGACATCACTGAAGAGATTAGAGCAGGCCCAGAGTGCTTCACCCAGTGAATAATCAGCATTGTGGCCAAAGGTCTCATGGAAAAGCACTCGTCCTTCATCTCCCTTGTAGCGGTCCAGCTCTAGAACACGCTTTGCACCTAGGGGCAATAACAGCATTCACATGCATTACAAATACCAAAGGAAGTACCACAAACTCTTCAAAACATGCACCGAGGGTCCCTTGCAGCTGATGTCTGAGTAATGTCCCCTAGCACCTCTGTGGCAGTGCCCTTCCATCACCTGGCTGAGAAAATTGTTGCGGATAGCCTAACATTTGCAGTATTGCAAGCCGGTTACCACTTGAAAGCACCTACTAGGGCCAAGAGGACTTTCCTGCTGGGGGAGGGAAACAAGCAGCGATCAAAGAACACAAACCCTCT